CCTGAAGGGATCATCTGCCCTGGATTCCCTGTGTTACCACTTCCTATCTGTACCAGTGTACATCCACTGGTCTAGCCAGATTTGTAAGGTAGACTTGGGATCATGATAGTAGGGGAGGAGGAAGCATTTAGGAACCAGAGGAAAGTTGTATGCTTCATCATTGTTATATCACACACTGGCTTGTCTCCTCTCCAAGACCCTTCTGTAAGGGGATCTCCAGTGGCCTACAAATGGGCTTTGGGTCTCCACTCCACACTTCCCCCCTCATTCAGTATGATATAATTTTTTGGAGAACCGTTGTCTTAATGACTTCTTTAAAAGTCCCTTTTCATTATATCTGTTTGCTCATTTGGGTTTTATTAAATCTTCCATGCTTCAAAAGCAGTTTTATTGTTTCACACTTTAGCCTGTTCATGTTTTGATGAGAGATGCTTTTTTTGGTCGTCTGGAATCAAACTAACACCATCTTATCCAACAGTTCGCCTTTTCTAGGGTTTCCCTTATGTCTGTAGAAAACTCACAGAAACTTTTGTGCCAACAGAATTTTACTCTTTGATGCTCTAATGGCAATATGTTAAAGTGGAAGAGTATTTTTTTAAACTTTTTTTTTTTTTTTTGCTTGCTTGCTTTTGTTAGAGAATTACTATAGTTTTCTTTGTCAACCCTCCAGCTCGCTAGGTCCCTTACTGCTCTATCAGTCAGCCCCAGTATTGAGTGCCTCAGATCTGCTGCGTTCTGGTAATTCCCTTCACTGAGGTGGTTGCATGGATATTACAGGTATTTGAGCCACTTAATAATCACCTTCTGTGTTTTCACTTCTTGTCAATGCCTTAGGAAAAACATATAAGTAATGAAGAAGAGAACTTAAGGAGGATGGAAGAAGCCAGATTGCAGCTCAAGGATCAACTTCTTTGCCTGGAGACTGAACAGGAATCCATTTTTGGCATGATAGGAAAGGAAATTGATGCTGCTTGTAAAACCTTCTGGAAGGACTCAGTGGACAAATTGAAAGTAATTGCAAGTTCTTATTGTGCCTTTAAATTCCAGCTAGTTTCCTAGCATGGAATTGTAATGGGATTTCGATGAATGGCTACATGGCAGTCACATTTTATGCCAGGAAGTTTTATGAAGCAAGATAAAGAATGCCTTGCTTTTCTAGAATGAGGCTCTAACTCTATTGCGCAATGGTGGTGTGGGGAAGTGGAGGGTCACTCCACTCAATTGCCAGTATCTCCCTCTCCAAAAGAAATTATCTTGTAAGAATGGAGCAGCCAGAGTAAGAAAAGCAACCTTGGAGTTTGAATGTGCATGATCACAGACCATTTTTGTTATTGTTGTATTATTGGCTAACAGATGTTGAGTACCAGCCTCATTCTCAGGAGCCTGGAGGTGATGTTGGGATAAACATTAGGCTGCCAACTGCCAGGTCAGCTGTTCCAACCACCAGCCACTCTGTGGGAGAACGAAGAGGTTGTCTGCTTCTATCAGATTTTGCAGTCTCAGAAACCCCCAAGGGTTTCTGTGAGTCAGAATCAACTTGATGGCAATGGACTTGGTTTGTCTTAGTTTTATTCTAGATGCTGTGGTGGTAGAATTGTATATGTATCTCTTCCTTAGTCTCTAAAACAACCATTTCAGAGTCTCTGAATCAATTCATTTGAGGAAAGTGGAAACAAAGTCCCAAAGGTAGTAAGTAGCTCGCTTTTGTCATGCTTTTAGTTACATGATAGTGCGGGGACTCTAATCCTTTAGGACAGTGGTTCCCAACCTTCCTCATGCCATGACCCTTTCATACAGTTCCTCATGTGGTGGTGACCCCCAACCATAACACTATTTTCGTCGCTACTTCATAACTGTCATTTTGCTACTGTGATCAATCGGGCGACCCTCAAAGGGGTCGCGACCCTTAGGTTGAGAACTGATGCTTTAGGCTGTACTTTGGGAGCCTAAACAATCATTTGGCTACCTGCTACCTGTTTAAAAATAAATTATATTTAATTGTATCTTTAAAATGGGACAGTGCTACTCAACATATAATTCAAGCGAGATGATAAATGAAAACAGAAAAATGATTGTGAATGCTTGCATTCCTTGATGGAAAGTTCCAAAACCAACTCTAGGTGCTTCTATTGTTTTATTATATAGATGGGAGTATTTTCTTTGATAGGGTCTAATTACAGTATATTACTTAGCTCCTATTTACCTCTCTTTTTTTATTTGATGAAACAGAAGCACTCAAATTGTGGTGTTAGCACATTTCCTTTTTTACTTTCCAACTCTTTGTTATTAAATTTTATCATTCATTTGTCTTCCTCTTCATATAGAATAATCTTCCTTTCTCATATACTGTTATTCCCTGCCCCATAGTTCCTCCCCATCTTTGTTTATCGCTTGATCTAAAGTAATGTTTACAAGTAAATAAAGCTGAAGTTCTACTTTTGTGGTTGAAGTTATCTTAGGATGTGATGCTAATGGAAATATTTCAACTGATTGAATTTGATTAAATCGATCACATTTCTTCAATATGTGGTTTTAAGACACAAGAAGGCTTCAAAAGTTCATGGAAAAATGCCATTCTTTAAACTCCTTTTTCCCCTGTGAACTCTTTGAAATTCCTGCATACATTTTTCAAATTTCAAATATCCATTCGGGAAGGTGTATGCGTAATCAGAGAAGTAATTGATTTCCAGGGAAAAGCTATCTCATTTCAAGCTGGCAGGCCTGCTATAATGCAGATTTTTCTTTTCCTGCGTAATGCTTCTGCTTGCTCTTATGATCGCCTCATTTTCATATATTCCAAAGAAACCTGGCTTGAGAACTCTAAGTTCTTCCAAAAGAAGCATGAATTATCAATGTATTATTTGTTCCGTATTTAAGTATTTATTTTAGGATGGCTTGTTTGCAACCATGCAGAAATGTAAAAATGGCATATGGATCATGGATATATAACCCTGGTTACAGGCAATTCCAGTCGAAAACACATGTTTAGACAGCAGCTTATCAAATGCTTTATTTCCTTATGAAGAGCAAATTATCCTTTGAACATCTTCTTCAAAGAATTGACTGATTCCTTAATATGTTCCTAGGCATAGGGCAATTGTAGCAATGCATCTTTACTTCCCTTCCCCTAGAGCAGTTGTTCTCAACCTGTGGGTCGCGGCCCCTTTGGGGGTCTAGAGACCCTTTTATAGGGATTGCCTGATTCCTAACAGTAGCAAAATTACAGTTATGAAGTATCAACGAAAATAATGTTATGGTTGGGGGGGTCACCACAACATGAAGAACTGTATTAAAGGGTCACGGCATTAGGAAAGTTGAGTACCACTGCCCTAGAGAAAGATTTTATTAAGACCCTACAGCTTTTTGTTTGGGATCCTTTCCTATGAGTTACACCTAGGATCTAGTCCCCATAACCCTAGAAAAATATTCATTACCTCCCAAGTATTTACTCTTACTTCTAATGTAAAGCAGTGCTTACATGAAATCATGTTTTGTTTCTGTCAATTCATCATAGAGTATTGATAAAAGGTAAAGAATATATGTGACCAAGTATTGAGGTAATCAAATCCAACCCACTATGAAATACACCTGTAGTGTACTGGCAAAAAGTAACAGACCTAAAATAGCATTGATTTAATAGAGGCTGTTTCCCTTCCAGAGCTCTCAAGAAACAGCGTCGAGAGCTGCTTTTCCACGCCTCTGTCTTAGAACGATATACATACACACATGTATAAGTGGTCATTGGAAATTGGTTGAGTGCTTGTTATAAACATTTTTCTTTTTAAACCTGTAAGCTTCGTAGTTAAATTTTTGGATGCTAATGGTGAAGAATTTAGTTCATATAAGTGCATTTTAGAGGAAGTGATCCTTCAATAATCTTTCTCTGTCTTCTGGTAGGTGTTTTCAGCTGTTCCTGACGTGCGTTGCGACCCACATCGCTGGCTAGCAGAAAGCAAGGTCAGTACTTTTTAGGTTTTTAAGGTTATTGTAATATTTATGGCTCTATTTGGTTCAGCTAAATATTTTCTTACACCACTGAGCATATCAAAGTAGGCTATTTCACTTTAAGGGGTGATAATTATTGCAGTTCATTTAAGAAACCTCTGTGAGTTCCTTCAATTTAACATTTATAAACCAATTCAACATGAAGGCTACTTTAAAAGTTCATGGAAAAATGGAATTCAAAGACCACAGAAAAATTCCCACAAACTTTTTTGAAGTCTCCTTCCCCTCACACCGTATATATAATATGCTAGATTATTGAAATAATTGGAGCCAATTGTCAGAGAGACAAACTCTTCTGCATTTTACTTGAGATAGACAACTTTTTGGAATAAACAAAGATCAGGGGTGCTGGAATTAACCTGAGTTTTATATGCGATACATACTTATACATATATATATATATAAAATATCTGCAATATGTATATTACATGTCACCTCTGACTCACAGTAAATGATGTTCACATTATGCATATGGATATCCAAAATCTTTATTCATGTAGCTCAGGGTTATTCAGTGTACTTTGTTTCAGACACTGGGGTCGAAGGATTAATGAACCATGAACTTTGTGCTCCGGTAGTCAAATGTCTTTTAGTGGAAATGGAAGTGTAGCAAGTAAAAATAAATCCCTTCATGTGTGTTACTTTGAAACAGAGGTATGAAAACAATGTGAGAGGAACACAGATGAGTGGAGAGCTGCCTGTATTGAAAGGACAGGAACTTGTGATACTCTCAACGTCACGGGAGGCTTCAGGACAGAAGCGCTATTTAAACTAGATTGCACTGAAAACTCTGTGGAAGTGCTTTAGTTGATTAGGTATAGGTAGAACAATGGTAAGCGAATGAGAATAGTAACCACAGATAATCCACTGAGCTTCATGAGTATGGTGAGTAAGTTCAGCTCTGTGTTAGAAAAGTCTTTTGAAATGCAGGCACACACACACACACACAACTGTAAAAACGTTTTTAATAAGGAACTAATAGCATTTGTAATTGAACATTCAAATTCACCTTAGCAATTTTTCCTCTCTCACTTCACATATAACTCTCCTGTGTATTCTAAACCACATTTGCTAGAACGAAATGCTAATGTGTCTTTATGCCACCTGTCTTGGAAATGTTGATTATACATGCTTTGCTGTCTCTGTTTCTTTTGACCAGAAACTTCTGTTGTGCTTCAATAAAGCGTCTTTCTTTCCTCCCTGGTCGCACAATTCCAGCAAGAGCCAAGTACATGGGATTCTCTTTCAAGTTAAAATCCCTCTGAACAGAAGGCTTTTACTGCTGTGGTTGAGTTAAATTATGAGAGGCAGAGATGACTCTTAATCATAGCTCTTTAATTTGGGAACCAGTGAGCACTTTCCCCTTATCATTTAATGGGATTGAACTTCTGATCAGAAAGTTTTAGTGCTGCGTGAGACAACTGTTCCTTTGCAGTGTGAAAGGGTTGTGATAAGCAGTGCTATGCTGACCAACTGCCCGAGAAGCAATGGAATCTATTTACTAGAGAGATGGCTTAGCTTATTGATGGGCCACAACACTGCAATTCCCATGAACTATGACTGGACAGCTCTATAAGTATTGAAGATAAGATCTGAAATCAGAGGGCAAAAACTAGATGGAAAGCAGAATTGCTATTCAGCTAGTCCACACGGACACCTTACAGTATTGGAAGGACCTTTAAGGGCATTTGATAATTGTTTTAATAAATCTGGCAATGGAAAATCTTCTGTTAGTGTTGATCCTTGGATTGGATGAGGCTTAGTGTCGCCGTGGCTTTCTTGGAAGCCGTGGCATTATGTAATCCTGAAGTCCAATTCACCGATGACATAACTAAATGAAGCATGAGAATAATGCATTACAGGAAAGGCGAGGAGTAGGTGGGTCATTAAGGAATTCCAGGCAAAGGGAGTTCCTATACAGCAGAACTTTTTTTTGACATAAATTCTGACAAGGCATGTGGAGGACAAATTACAATTGTTTAACAACATTTACTGAGAAGCTACTATGTCCATGTTTGTTGTTAGGTGCCTTTGAGACAGTTCTGACTCATAGCAGCAAACGATGTACAACAGAATGGAGCGCTGCCTGGTCCCGTGCCATCCTCACAGTTCTTAGGTTTGAATTCACTGTTGCAGCCGCTGTTAATCGGTTTTATCAAGGGCCTTCCTCTTGTTGGTTGCCCCACTACCTTACCAAGCACGATGTCCAAAGCAAATGAGGCGAGCATGCTGGTTGTACCTCATCCAAGACAGATTTGTTTGGTCTGTGGTCGTCTATGGTACTTGTAGATTATTATTTTCATATCTTACATTGTCCTCTGTCACCCCTCACCTACTTTTCTGTTGTTCGTCCTCCTGAGAGGGGGTTATAGGTTGATCCTTGTGATCGAGTCCCCTTTTCTCCCCCTCCCCTCCATTAATCCTCCTGGTATTCTATTCTCATTGTTGGCCCTGGGAGTGGGGAGGAGGGCTTGTTCTGGATTCCCTGTGTTGCAGGCTCTTGTCTGTAGCAGTGTGCATGTTCTGGTCTAATCCAATTTGTAAGGTAAAATTGAGGTCATGATAGTGAGGAGAAGGAAGCACCAAAGAGCTAGAGGAAAGTTGTGTGTTTCATCGGTGCTACACTGCACCCTGACTGGCTCATCTCTTCCTTGTGACCCCTAGGTAGGGGGATGTCCAATTGTCTAGAGATGGGCATTGGGTCCATGACCCCATGACCTTCCCCCCATTCACCTTGGGTATGATTTTGTTCTGGGTCTTAGATGCCTGGTACCGGATCCTATCCACACCTCATGATCACACAGGCTGGTGTGCTTCTTCCATGTGGGCTTTGTTGCTTCTGAGCTAGATGGCCGCTTGTTTA